GTTCTTGCGCCCTTGATGCTTTGTTCTCTTTTGGGAATTCGAACGAGTCGTTGGTGGACGGCTAGCATCTAGGCTTGTGGCAAAAATAAAGCATATAGAATACATTCTTCCTGGATTCAGAGCGTGACGACGTACAATTAGTGATATCAGTTAGGTAAGCTAGACAAGGTATGCTCAAAGCTCAACTAAATGCGCCTTGCGCCATTACAGAGCGGCTCCATGTGATCGTCTGTGGGTTATACGCATCATAAGCACACGACCCGGGAGCCTTCCTTTTTGGTTCTTAAAAAAAACCCTAAACAGACCTGCACATAGAGGCATTGATAGTCCGATGCTTGAGCCATTATCTTCTTATCGACATTTTTTGAATAAACTCACTATCTTCATTCTTCTTTCAGATCCATTCAACAGTAGTTATATTGTCTCTGTACAGAAAGAGAATATTTTTGAATCTATCCCAACTACTTCAACAGTGAAGCTGTTGTCTAGGGACCTCTTTTTATGTACTCATGAAACAGGTGAGTAACAGCATTCATTTTTCCACGCGTCATCATAGTTATAATAATTTTTATATTCTCAGTGACAACTCTGAATAAGTCGTTTGTAAGATCAAGACTGAGAAATCGGTAGTCCAACTGGGCCGAGCACAATTAGTCGTTTAAAATGTTCTTTGCTAGATGAACAGGGGAGCACGTCTTGACGACTCTAAGTGAGATTTGTCAGTCAGCAGATGAGATCACTTAGTGCCCCGAGAGGAGATGAGTCCTAAGCCTTACGACGTCCACACCTACTTGCACGTTGTGGTAGATTCATGTGGGTCAACTTTATTACAGTAGGAAATGCACTGATGTGCCGTAAAATGCTCTTCTGCAGCGTTGAACACATTCTTTCTTGCATCAATCGACTGTTCAAGCCTGACAGTCATCCGATGCTGGGATGGCAAGTAAGTGGCCGACAAAGCTAACCGTGCGTGCGATATACCAACTGACAATCAAGAAACATGCCTTCCATTTGTCCGAACGTCTCAGCCGTCTAAGTGTGTCGCATACATCCAGCGTTAAGTAAATTATACCTATGTAGCTAATGACGAACAGCTAGGAGCAGCTACACGGTGAATCCAGAATTTAATATGGCCATTACATTTGAAATGAACACTGCGATTTAATACTACAATCTTTGATTTTCACCGACTGTCTTTTTGTGCTGAGCTCACGTGAATCACAGTTGTTGCCTCTATTTCTCTTGTAGATCAATTATACAGTAGTTACTCAGTAACTGAAGAAGAACTTATTTATCAGGCAGTTCAAACTACGGACCCTGACACAATCTTATCCTATAAAGTTCATCAAGCATGTGAGTAATATCAATTCCATTGCTATTAAACCTGTTTTATGCCTGCGAGATTGTTTCTCTAACCTCTACCGACATCCGTCACAACAACCTTTCCCTTCTAAGTAGATCCACCCAGAACGATATTCCACATAGGTATGCCAGACTGAGCATCTTCTACAACAACTCAGGTTTCGTTACGATTGTCGAGCACAATCTCAACTTCTGCAGATATTTTGCTTCTAAATCAGTGGGAGCAGTGGACGACGTTAGATAGGCATACCGAAAAGAGGAAATGAGCATCAAAGCTCTGTCTAAATGTTTCCTTTATAAATTCTTTACCTACTACACGACAGGTTTGAAGTGCAAAAAGAGTACTACAGAGAATGCGATCATTTACGGAGCCCGATTTGCGTGAAACGGTACGCGATAGTCAAACATAACATTTATCGTAGCCTTAACACTAACCCTGAATGCTATCTGCAACGTAAAAAACACGAATATGAACCCTGAATTCCAAACATGGATAGTACTTCATAACATGCTTACTTAACTCAAATGGGCAGGTTTCATATATGACTAAAACTTAGGGCTTACATATTCAATCATTAACGAAATATCGGCAGATAGGGCCTGCACTGGGTGATCGTATGGTCGATCCGGCAGCACAATTGACCACAAAAATCAAAATTGACCATAACAGTCTTAGTATTTGAAGGTCCGCTTCCAGGCCAGTTTTATTTCAAACGCATTTTTGCCTTGCAGGCTTATTCTACCAGGAAAATAACGTATTCCTAGGAGATGAGGTTATTTTCGAGGCAGTACAGCCTGCAAGGATTCAGAGAGTTATTTTTTCAGAACCCTATACAGCAAGTAAGTGACATCATTCTCCTCGCCGTTAATCCTTTTTTGCACATGAATGTAAATAGTTCATATATGAATGCATATGTGATATAACGGCTGGTTTTCTGCATCATCCTCCGGTGTACCTCCTGGGCACATTTTCCTTATTGAGTTAGCCAGGCAACAGACTGAGCCTCGTTTTGTTACAAACTTGTCTACTGTTCAATTTACGGTACCTCGCAAAATCCACATTTACGAACTGTTCCAACAAGTCTTCTGTTTAGTAGTATGCTTGCAAAAGTGAATAGACCGTCCTTCTTCATTTCTGGTCTGAACGTCACAGTGAGCAGCGAACTCGATTCATTTTCAATTCTAGAGTTTCTCAACCATTTTTTTACAGAAATATCAAATCAGATCATGAGATCTGCACAATATTCTCATAATCTGGTCATTCTCCGGCTCTCTTATGAAGAAGTCTGCTGTTTAAAGTCCATGGGCAAGCCCAAGCTGTGTGAGAGGGTACGCAATAGGCAAATATAACGTTTGTCGCAACCTTAACCCCAACCCTGAATGCTAGCTGTAACGTAAAAAAACGCATATGAGCTCTTCATCCCAAACATAATTAGTACTGCATAACATGTCTGCTGAAATCAAATAAACAGTTGTGGTATAGTACTAAAAGCGAGGGCTTACATATTAAAGCATTAACGAGATATCGGAGTCGGCAGTAGAATTCGCCATAAAATATGAATTGAAGATAACAATCTTAGTGGCTAAACGCCCGCTTCCATGCCAGCTAAATTTCAAACACCTTTTTTGTCTTGCAGGCTTGTTCTATCAAAAACATGACGTTTTCGTAGGAGAAGTTACTTCCAAGGCAGTACAGCCTGTAAGGATTGAGAAAATTACTTTGTCTGAACCTTTTACAGTAGGTAAGTGGCACAATTTTCCTGTCTATTAAATCTTTTTTATGTATAAATGCAGATGACGCATTTATGAAAGCGTACAAAATATAATAGGCCATTAAAAAGCCGTTTTCTTGTGGGTTTTCTGCATCATCTTCCGGTGTTTCTCCTGGGCAAAATGTTCCTGCTGGGTTAGCCAGGAAGTAGACTTAGCCTCGTTTTGCAGAAATAATTCTCACCGCCCGATTCATGTTACGTCACGAATTGTTCCACCAAGCCTTCTGTTTAGTAGTATGTTCAAAAAAGTGAATACATCGTCCACCTTTATTTCAGGTCCGAACGTCACACGGAGCAGCGAATTCGATTCACTTTCACTTTCTCATCCGTTTTGACAGAAATATCATAGATATAAGGGGTATACAACTGAGATCGGCTCAACAGTCTCAGGCTCTCTTATGAAGATGTCCGCTGTTGGAATTCCATGGGTGAGCCCATCGTTATACCGTCGATCTTTCTCCAAAATGGGTCATCAACTCTCAGCTGAACGTTCACTGCCGGGGTAGAACTGATTTGCTAATTGGGAAATCCTGCTTATCTGTGTTTAGTCATGTTAATATGGTTTCTGTCAGGGGAACTCTAGTGACAGAAACGGGACCCTGAGAGAATACGCAGTTGCCTCATCAAGATTCGCAGTTTCTGTAGAATCGAGGAACACACGACTGTCTCGCAAGCTGCATGGCCCAGTCTTGCGTTTGGTCGGCCTAAATACTGCGGTCAGTCCTTTCCAACGACAGTGCCAATTGCACGTTTCCTCTGTTGGCTAGGTAGGGATGTCAGGCTTGAAAATCTTTGACCAATCATAAAAGCACAACCTGTGCCAGTGGTGGGCTTACTACTCATTAAGGATGAGCTTGCTATTCCGGTTTGTGGAGAGGCACAACGAGTTGGGCATCCATGACCTTTGTGCTTCTCTTGTGACCTTCAGTGGACATCCTAACAGTTGATTACTACCTGGCCAAGCACTACTGGCTAGGTCACACAAAACAGTTTTTGACGCGTGTCGGCGGATGATTTATTTCCAAAAACATTTAAATTTTTATCCATCTTTTTACTAGAGGAGGACAGGCTTTTCAATTTTCCACGGCACGTAGGAACGGCCTGCTATGTGTCTGGAATCCACACAATCAATAAGAGCAGGCAGTTGACGTATTTTGAATCCAGCTTAGGCTATACACCTATAAATACTAAAGAGGAAGACCGCTGTAGCAGCGGTGGTAAGTTCTCTCGGCGTAACTCTATATGTGTTTACAGCCTCCGATCCACAGGCCCAGCCTGCAGGGGTCATGAAACCCCGAATTAAACGAGCATTGAAAGCGCCTGTTGTTGACTGCCAATCACTAACCATGGAAGGCTACCACTGGTAATTTCCGTTTTGTAAAGTCCTTTGAACGTAGACTCCTTGCAGCTCTGGCGAGGTGAATAAAGACGAGAGATTAGACTCCGAGTCGATCTCATTGACCAATGTTACGGACCTTGGCACGCTCCATGCATCGTTTACGGCATCGGAGACGGAGCGTGCCTGGGTAACGTCCCCGATGTGGAAAGGGCTTAAATGGGGTAGGAACAGCATTTTAATTTTTGCAGTTAATAAGACCGCATTACCTTTGAGAAGGTGTGAAACCACATAGTCGTAGGCATCACGTACAACTGATTCTTTAAAGTTACATTAGATGTGAAGTACGAAATGATAGCTGTTAACAATTAGCGAGAAGTCTTGCTGAGAGATGACTTAATCAGAGACCGGCGTTTTAAATCCTAGCTTATAACGCTAGGACGACATTTGAAATATCGGAATAATAGCATAAAACAAGGACTTAATAACTGGATTCCAACTACAGATCTTTCTTGTCCGTCATATACACCAGTGCTGTTCTTTGAATGCTCATTCGGTTTTTCCGGGTCTGCACGTATTTTTACACACTACCTGGGCAATACCTCAGTGAATATAGGTGACGTACTTAAAGAATTTGAACCAGTCCAGTTATGGCAATAAGATGACGACCGGCTATATGCACAACTTGACATTCGTATACTTTAGCCTTCACAGAAGAAGACCCTTGATAACCGCTTATATGTCTGATCGGAGAAATTACCTTTTCTCATCCAGTACCAGTTTTAAACCAATAGTATACAAGGGTGCTATGGGTGTGAAAAACCAACAGCAGTGGATGTGTTCATACGTGCGTAACTATGCTATTTAAATGGGTTCAGTATTGTGTGTAGACACCGCATCGTTAAATGAAATATATACCTATTCAGATAATCATCATGCGGAGGAAGAGGATGAGGATACTCTTACCTCGGTAACAGAATTGTCCGAAGGGACTTGCCTTACACAGTCTCCAGAAGCGAAGGAACTGCTATTCCTTCACGAGGAGGCAATAACAAACGAGTTTATGGAAATGGGTAAGTGAACCTTTTCCTGACTGGTTTTACT